GGGGGGGAGACCAGCGTTTCTCAAATTGGGGGTCCTGACCCAAAAGGGAGTTGCAGGGAGGTCATGGTATTGCCACCCTTACTTCTGTGCTGACTTCCAAGCTGGGTGGCTAGAGATTGGCGGCTGTTGGTCAGGCGCCCAGCTCTGAAGGCAGTGCCCTGCCAGCAACAGCGCAAAAGTAAGAATGGCAATGCCATACCATGCCCCCCTTACTTCTGCGCTGTTGCTGGTGGCTCTGCCCTCAGAGTTGGGCTGGCCAGGAGCTGCCGCTCTCCAGCTGCTCAGCTCTAAGGCAGCGCCACCACCAGCAGCAGCACAGAAGTGAAGGTAACAGAACGGCAACCTCCCCCCTAAAATAACTTTGCAAACCTCCCCTCTTTTTTGAGTCAGGAGCCCTACAATTACAACACCATGACATTTCAGTTTTAAATAACTGGGGGGAGGGATAGCTCAGTGGTTTGAGCATTGGCCTGCTAAATCTAGGGTTGTGAGTTCAATCCTTGAGGAGGCCATTTAGGGATCTGGGGCAAAAATCTGTCTGGGGATTGGTCCTGCTTTAAGCAGGGGGTTGGACTAGATGACCTCCTGAGGTCCCTTCCAACCCTGAGATTCTATGAAATCATGAAATTTATTATTTTTAAAATCCTATGACTGTGAAATTGACCAAAATGGATCGTGAATTAGGTAGTGCCTTACTCATGGCAATCATGCAAGGGAAGTGATCAATTTTTTCTGGTAGAAGCTCCTGCCCTGCAGTTTCTCCTTTGGACTAAAACGTTGTTTTAGGTAAAAGGAGGAGTGGAGCCTGCTATATTTTACCCTAGACTTGCCTGGAGACAAGTGTCAGTAGCAGTGTAAATGGTGATGTTTTCACTTTCATCAGCTGGAAGTAGTGTCATCTGATTCAATTGTGTGCAGTGCAGGACATGCCAGGACTAAATACAATTGGAATTAAAATCCATATATTTCTCCAGGTGACTACTGTGAATTGAGATGTTATGGAGGAGTCATGTGACCTCAACATAACTGTCTCTTCCCATGATCCCCAACCATAATTTGTAGACCTTTGGAGACACCTTGTGTGCCAGCTGGCAAAGTGAGGTTGGGATTATGGGTGACTCTGCAAGGTAATATTAGCCCACTGGTTCCTGAATGCACTTTGCACAAAGGAAAATCGTGGATGCCATCTAAAATATGAAAATGCACTGTCCTCACATTGTCAGTGAGAGCCTATGATGGAAATGGAGCTGGTGTTTTTGCTTTCTGATTTGTTCTTACTGCTGGTAATTGCATGTTTGCTCTAAAACAGCCACATGGCCATGCACTTATTATGAGATGAAGGATGGGGAGGGTACTAGCTTTCCTACAGTTGTTCAGGGATGGCAGCTTGGTAGGTTTCATATCAGCCTGTATCTATGGCTGTCTGATTTAAAGATGACCTTCCCCCCCAAAAAAGCCCTTCTTGGCTGCTGGAAAGAAGAACTAGTATTTTCTCTTGGTTCTTCCTTGAACCCCAGGTTCTGGGTGCTGTAATGGGGTGTGGGGAAGGGTAGCCCCTACTTCCTCGCCTCTGGCTGCTGCAGTTAGGGATATTTGCTACTCTTCCCACCCTCAAGGTTCCAGATTGCAATCAAAGGAGGCTTTTTAGTTATGTCCACCAGCCTCGGTTCTGAATGCGCCTTCCTAGAGAATAGCTCCAGTGCCTGCCTTTGATGCTGCCCGTACCTTTCCCAAGTAGCCGCAGAGTGAACTTCACCCGATTCTTCATTTCACTGCCAACTAGAGAGTTCTTACCTGCAGCAACATACTGAGTTACTAGAGCCGTGTGTCTGCAGGCTAAGGAAGTTAGTCTTGCACCTGTTTACATTCCATTCACATTTGGAAGGTTACCTTTGCAACCGTATTGGCTAACACCTCATTGTAAGTGAAAACTCTGTAGGAGTTGATGGGCACTGTTTGTCCTTGACACTGAGAGCATCTTATTTGTTAGTAGAGAGTAGGCAAGTGGATTTTTGAAGCCCTGAGTCTGGAGTTAGTTAAATACACACACCCACCACAGTCCTAAAACTGCATGTAAACTCAAAGAGCAGGACTCCCCTTGAAAGGAGATCATGGTTCATTATAATATGCTGTCCCCTTATATGAAATGAGTTTGGTGGGTCTCATTCCATTTCTTATTGGATGCCTATTACATCACAAGACCACTGTGACCACACATTTTTTGGTAAGCTTGGCACAGAAGACACAAATTGAATGAGCATGGATGCTGATCTAGTTTGTTACTGTATCTTTACTGGTGGTCCCTCCAGATCTGTTCTGAGATCAGTTTGGGGGTAGCACTGCCGCTCCCCTAACTGTACTTGTCTTGGGGATAATATTAACATATTTGTACATAGCATGTCACAAAGCATAGAGTAAAACTGTCCATTGTCCTTAAGCGATGCAATCAAATAGGGGCTTCAGCGTAGTTGCCAAGGTCTGTGCAGCTCCATGTGACACATTATGGAAATTATTTAGTGAGTTAAAATGTATATTTGTAATTCATTGGTATATTCCCATAAATTGGCTTTAAAAATTGTAGATTTAGTGCTTTTGCAGCTCTGCTAAATGAAGCCCTTAGTTTGTCTACAGGGCAGCAGAAGTGCAAGCTTCCAGCATACCCAAACGATGATCTGGGAAGAACTTCATTTTTCTGGCAAGGCAAAATGGGAAACTGAATGAAACTTGGGTCTGTCGGATTGGAGACTTGGATTCTGTTCTCAGCTCTGCCTTCAGTGACCTCCTTCAAGCTTTCTTTTTTTCTTATCTGTAAAATGGGGGAATGCTAGCTGCCTCCTCTAAGGTAAAGATATGAGGCCTTGGTTATAAGGGTTGTGACGTGCACAGAAATATTAAGAACATTCAGTTGAAGAGCTGAGACAAACTCATTGTTTCTTAGCTTGTAGTTCAGGGAATCTTCCCCTAGGCTACAGGGGGTTGCATGGGGAAGTCTCTCTTGCATTCATACTTACGTATGCATGAGTTTCATGCAAGAGCTGTAATACTTGGCAGGTCTGCTTCAATCCTTAGGACTATTAACCTGGTGCCTTTCATCAGAGGAATAGCTCTTGGAGGGGGAAACCTTTTGCTTAGCTAATATATGTTTTAACAGACTTTCTTGTTTAGACCATAGGTCCCCATTAAATTCCACAAATCCAATGCTTAATTTGTGCTGGGTTGAGCTCTGGCACCTTTAGGGTTGGCCGTTCATAGCCCCAGCACATCTGGGTTTGCTGCGTCAGTTATGAATGTTAAAAAAAATTGCTTGAGCCCCGGCACCTCTTTCATTACAAATTAAGCACTGCACAAATCCATTGGATTTAGCCTCCATAACTTCTTTCATTCAAGGATTATTTTTCTGTGATATATGAAGAATCTTTCTTTAGGTCCAGTAGGCATTCCTCATGCAAAATGTTCATCTGAGAGAAGGAGAACTGTAGCAAACATACCTCACTTCATTCCTGTCACTCTGCTCCCTTTCTCCTCTAGCTGGCAATTGAAAATCTGAGCACTGCTTCTCCTGCAACCTTGTGTTGCAAGAGGCAACCTCACATTTATAATACTGTGATAATATGAGAGCAGCATAAACTGAAGTGAAAGGTGACTGGGAATTCTCTAGCTGGATCACACAGCAGAATCATCAGAATTGGAGAAAATAACATATAGCTGTGGGGAAGAGATTTGTGTGTGTTCTTAATGTGAGAGAACAGCTGAGAATTGTGTGATGTACATCACAGCTTGGAAAAAGGTATGAGATGCTCACTAGCCAGAGGACTAAACCCATGAGTTAGAAATAGATGTGAAAGACAATGCAGTGGCCACCCACCAGCAATGTCCAGGAGTATCTCTCTAGTAAAAAAAGTCCAGTCTCCCTTTGGTACTCCTGCGGTACCCAAACTTTGCAACATCAGGAATTGCATTGGCAACTTCCCAGGAGCCCAAGAGCTACACTTAATTCCCACATACACTTCCATAAACTTAAAAAAATCCAACCCTGAAACAAATGTACCTTTCTTAGGCAGATTGAATTAGTTCACAAGCAATAAAAACTACCGGTTCATCAGCTGAGTCCTCACTGCTGGGAGGCTACATTTTAGGACTTGGACTGCTTTTGGCTCTTGGGACGTGTTTTGGATATCTCATGTGTCATTGTTTGTTCAGTATAACCCTTAATGATTAAATGATGTGGATCGTGAACACCAGCAGCTATTATAAAGTGCGACCTTAAGATTGAGGAGTCAGGTTCAGCTCCGGCTGAAGTTAATGGAGCTGTGACTTCTTACGCTAGGGGAGAACTTAGTCCTAAATATTTTAAAACGATAAGTATTTGCCTTACTATAAGTAAGGACGGCTAGAATTACTTTAGAAAAGGAGGGTGTGCCACCGAAATATGTTACCATATGGTTCCCAAGCAAACAACTATTTTCCTCTTCGCCCATTCTATTTTTTCTCCCAAATATAACCATTAATTCTAATGCTGAAGCTCAAGTTTGTATAATAAATATGTTGTTCTTCCAGATAACTTGCCCTGGAGTATTGCTGAAAGACAAAAGTGAGCTCTATCTCAGCGCCTGTGTATTTGGACAGTACAAAAGGACTCAATGTGTCCCTGCAGCATTTCCACTCTTCTTAGAAGAGAAACTAGTATTTGAAAAGGTATGAGCATAACATCAGACATGAGCATTTAAAAAACAAAGACCCAGAATCCCCAAACACAAATGATCAAACTGAACATGGTATTGTATTACTACTAATTTCAGCAGCTCTTCAACACAGAAGACATTTGTTTTTTCAATATAGATATGGTAATTTAAAATAAATTTGTGAGGATATGACCATAGTATATCATAAGGATTTTTTGGTTTTTGTTCGTTCTTCTTTTACGAAATGACCTTTTTTTCCCCAATAGTTCCTCTTAGTTCCTGCCAAGTGTTATGCTTCTTAAATGTAGGTCAAAATGGAAAATAAAAGTAGGGAATAGGGAGAAGAATGAAAATTAAAAATCACAGAATTAGATTATAAAAACTATTGGTAGCAAAAAGATGGAATATGAGATTGGGCTTTCTGGTGACAGCTCTCTCCATATGAGCTGTTCTTTCCTGGTTTGACGTCGCAAGAGTCCCCTTGATGGCACTATAGCCTTGTAATTTACCGTTGCCTATCGCCTCTTCTGTGTCCCTACTAGTTTCATTGTGAGTGCCATAGGAATAATGAAATTCTGTACCTTACAAACATGATTCCGGTTTTTGACTACTCATGAATAACAATACTTTGCATGTCTCTAGTGCTTTTCATCCAAGTATCCCAAAGCACTTTCAAAGACTGACTAATTAAGCCTCAACAATACCTTTGTGAGATAGGTAAGGCATGGAGAGGGATAATTTCACCCACCATTGAAAGGCAAGGTGGAAATGGAACATAGCAGCTATTTAACAGTGCATAACTAGAGTACAAAACAACTTAGGACAGGAAGTGCTGATTACTGTATTCAACTGAAACTGAGGGAGAAATCTAGGTGTATTTATAGAGTGCAATTTCTTAAGTAGGAATTTAGCCAGAGCAGTGGGAATAACATCCGTGCTCTTACAAAGAGTGTCATTTAATAGCTTGAGGTATTCAGGTTCTCTACTTTTACATCTTCAAAAGTTTGGTACCTCCAGCAGTAGGGTGTCCCTCAACAGCATGCAGAGGCAGTGGCTCAGTATTGAATTGGTAGGAAGAGAGCCAGCTGCTGAACGTCCAACACTACTGTCTGCAGCTAAAATTGCTGTTTACCCTCTAATTGGGTGTGATGTTTGTTTACAAATCTCATTGAAAGATTCTGTAATGCTACAGTCCATATTCTGAAGATGAAAACTTAGCATATTGTCAATAGAGTACAATTTAGGCATGCTTTGCAACTGTTCAGCGGAGTTGTTCTTCTGCAGTTTAACTATAACTTAATCTATTTTCCCCTAGAAATTATAATAAACTAGTCATTATTTTAGCAGGACTTGCAAAAATGTTTTGGAGAGCTGCTCTTCTTGGCTTTACAGCGGTAGTTAGTGAATGAACGGTATTCCCAGGGTGGTGCTGACATGATCAGTAATAGTTATGCACAAACAAGAATGTAATGGAAATGTGCCACATTATTTTAAGTTCAGTTACAAGTGCCAGAAGAATTATCAACATTATACAAATGGAAAGAAGAAAAAACAAAAGGGAAAATAATTCTATTTTCAAATATCTAAGAAAATTGTGGGATTGCTCAGTGTAGAAAACCCAATAATTAAAAAAGCTGCTGACATTGTCCCTTTCATCTTTTTCAGTTAAAGATGAAAAATGAACTTTTCTAACAAGATTAGCTATTTGTCTTTTATATTGCTGAAATTTGTGCAGACTGCACTTGCATGTTCATGTGATTGGCTCACATAATTTAGATGGAGAGGAAGAATCTTGAAATGGTTAGAAATCAGCTGACCAAAAGTGCCGTCTTTCTAAGAAATAGATTCTGTCTCAGTGCCAGGTTATAATTTCAGTTTTCTGTTGTTTTGCCTATGGGGAATAGTACTGTTTGCAATAATCAATCAAAGGCAAACTTTAGTTTTCTCTAAGCACATCTTTTATTTCTGATCAAATGTGTCCATTACATTGCTTTTAATCTTTTGTTTTAGGTATTTACTGATGTAGTTGATCCTGGAGAACTTGTTGAGCTACTTGAATGTAGGTTTTGCTTTTTATATACATTATATTGTATGCACCTAGGGCTAGATCCTCAGAAAGAGGGCTTAGGCTCGGTATTGTGGTGCCTAATATGTAGGCATTCTGCTTCCCAGCAGAATTCATGGCCCCGAGTTTGGTGCTTGGACTCTGTATAGAATGCAGTGGGGAGTTAAGTCCCTTAAAAATAATCATGGGGCAAAAGAAAAAGAGAGACTCTGTCTCCTAGTAGTTAGTGCTCTTTCCGGGAGACTCTGGTCCAGTCCCTGCTTCAAGGAATATTTAAGTATTTCATATAAAGTAGAACAGCTTTAACAGAAGAGATTGAGAGCCCTGCATGAGCTGGGTTCCGAGCTGCTCAGCAGTGTCAGGATTTAAACAGTTTTGCTCATGCCCACAGTCACAAATTTAGATGCTTAAGGGACTTTACCAGTGGAAACTTAGGGGTCTGGTTAATGTAGGTTCCTACGGGATTATGTGACCACTGAGTAGGGGTTTTAGAAGATCTAAAGTTTGAAACTTGAGTGCCTAAAATGGCATTTAGATACCTGAATTCCTTTGTGGATCTAGCCCTTGGTGGCTAATATATTAATAATATGGAATCTAAAGATATTTTTGAGAGTTGAGGGGTTAGATAGGAAAACATCCTTACTATATCTTTGAAACACTAGTGGCTTAAGAATGATCTGCTACAAATACGTGTGATCATTCAAGGAAATACTCATTGCTCAATGTGTGATCCTTCAAATGTGAGCCTAGGAAAGTTTTAGAGATGTGATGGCTTCTTTTGATAGTAATAACTTACCAGGAATACAGATAAATAAGAGGTCACTTCCAGAAATCTCTAAATTATACATTTCTTCTAGTGTATTCAAGAGAGCGAAATTTAAAACAGTTAAAAACGTAGCTTATTCACATACAAAGACTTCAGGAACTCAACAAACTGACCACATATAGCAAGCTCTGTTCAAATACACCTCTACCCCGATATAACATGACCCAATATAACACGAATTCGGATATAACGCGGTAAAGCAGTGCTCCGGGGGGGGGGGGGGACGACGACGACGGACTGTGCACTCTGGTGGATCAAAGCAAGTTCGCTATAACGCAGTTTCACCTATAACGCGGTAAGATTTTTTTGGCTCCCAAGGACAGCGTTATATCTGGGTAGAGGTGTACTTTGAACTTCACTGAGTGTTTAACCTTGTCAAGTGATTGTGATTTTATTAAACAGAGTGACTCCACAATG